ACAGCCAGGAACCAGCCAGTAAGCGGACCGCAAACACCAGAGCCAGCGCCAACCTGTGAAAAGTAAGTGGATCAATAAATTGGTAAAATGACATTGACTCAGCGTTGTCACTAAAGCAGTGTTTCTCCTTACAGGGAACAAAACTACTGTTACAATAAAACGTTATTTTTGGAGAATATTGAAGATTTCTGCCTTAACTTTACTATCCCCTCATAACCCTACCATGCAGAAGATTTGTAATTGCCAAACTTCCAAAAAGAACTAGAAACAAATTCAATCAAATGTACATGATAACATGGATAACGTGAATATTATTGTTGAAATATTCTGAATCTTACCTCCCACTTGATTGAAAATGACAGCTATGATATACGTTTAGGCCATGGCGCCCATCAACATCCACAAATGCAAAATGAACATAGGTGGATGAAAATTTCATAAAAAAATTGGCAACGGAAAAATATAGCATAACAATCGAATCACAGAGTTGTCATTGTTATAATTCTCTACAAATGCGTTAAAAAAAAGGTTCAAACTATTTGAGACTTTTATCTACACTTCTGCTTCACTACCATGCAACGCATAGGCCCACGGCTCACATAAATGGCCAGGGAATCTTCCGACATGAACACCAATTTAAAAAATACAGAAGACCGATGACTTTAAAGAATCTATGAAAGTTTATTTGATTCATTTTCATTTTCACTATCCATTGCCCTCAAGCAACAGCTTGCACAGAAGCGATTCTGAAATGTAACACACGAACGACCAACATCGACGCATTGCGAGCGTAATTGCCGGTTCAGGATAGCCTCAAAAAATGCCTCACTGCAAAGTAGGACCCGTTCCAAAGCTTTGCAGCTTATGAAAAATTACAACAAACGATTACAGTCGAGCAGAGATGATGCGAGTGTGAAGATTTAAGAACACACACTATAAGAAAAATTACAGATTTTTGTATCAAATTTGATTACGAGGACTACAAGGAGCGCGGCGAGGTCACCCAGTACCTCCGGTCCCTCGGCCACACCATCAACTTATAGGTTAGGAAAAATGGGCAATTAGGAAAATCATATTAGGAATTGGAATTTTAGGAAGAACGGTTTTTGGAAAATGTAACTTAGGAAAACTGGAGTAGGAAAAATGGGTGGGAACGATTTTTTTAGAGTGTAGTGTTGAGCACTGGCAAGTGCACGCCAGTTGCACACTTTATTTATCAGTTTGGGCTCAAAGTCGGCCGAAAGCTTGGGTGTACATTGCACAATTGCCCGTTGCACAAACTGCTCGTGCGAGATCTCTCGTGGGTCCAACTGCTCGTGGGGTCTGAATCAAAGCTTTAGCGCCATGCACACACCGGAAGCTACGTAGTGCCTCGGGAGGGACTTCGAAATATTCTTCCCGCTGTACCTCGAACTCGTAACTCGGGGGACCGTCTATTCACCCAGTTTTAACTTATGTTGTTTAATAATTGTGTCGAACAAAAATATCAAAAATGCGTAATAAATCTGAAGAGGAAACTGACTCGGTGCTTCAAAACGAGTGGATTTTGTGATGCGTGCATTCTATTTGCACTCTATAAAAAATTAATACAAAAATCTGTAATTTGGATATGCAGTTTTTTCAGCATCCGTGATACAAAAAATTGTATTCTTTCGGATACAATAACAAATCTGTAATACAGATACAGAAATTTGCATCCATCGATACAGAAAAAAATATGTTTAAGTTCAAACATGCTCTGATATGAATGAAAAATATTTTTTCCCTGCTGGTTGTCTCATTCTAGATATTGCCCACACATGACACGCAATTAATTTCAATGTTGTACCTTACCTCTTACCTTACCGGGATTTGAACCCCAAACCTCTGGGTTGGGATTCGACGCCTTAACCCACGCGGCTAAGGCACTCTTCCCCATGTATTGGCTGGCCTCTGAGCCTTTCCCTTAGCTATCGGGCCATCAGATGGAACTTTTATGTGAATGCTTAGGAAATTGATTTTATCGCAGGTGGTGCCAGAATCAGTCGAACAGCTACTCAAATTGTGTTCAAATTGAGCGTTAAAACGGTGGCGTTTTAACCGCACGTAGGGTAAACCTACCAAACATGGATCATTTTTCAGAAAACCGTGGTTTTGGGGTGGATAAAAGTGTGATGAGCATGATTTTTTTTCATGGTTGTGTAGTTTGAACCTTTTGGAATGATATTCCGTTGGAATGAACTTTCTAGCTCCAATACTTTAGGAGCTACAGGGAATCCCCATGACCGCGAATTTTGATCCATGTTTGGAGGGTGGTACCCTAACATGGATCACCGAGCTAGAGTATCCCTCTTCACATATGTGATAAACAACAGTATTAGGGAAAGGCAACTTTTTTTGTTTTATCCCAAAACAACCCCTTCCTCTTTTTAGGGGTTGTGATCCATGTTTGGACGCTGACCCAAACATGGATCAAAACTTCGGCATGTTTGGATACGTTGTTTAGGCTCGTCTGTCGACGAAATTAATAGTTTTTTATACCAACGTGTTCCTCTGACTATTCTGCTCACGAAATTATAACTTGCTCCCACTCATTTGCATCTTCGGGGCGGATATAGGGCCTGGAAAAGTGGCATTTCATGTAACTAGAAATTCCGGCTTTTTCTATATATCCTGACTAACCACGTGATATTGACACTCTGATTCGTTTGAGAAATGTTCCTCGAAACCGGTTCTGTAAACTTAATACATACGTTTTTGAAATTATTGTATTTTCTAGCTCAGTCACGGGATCGTAAGAGCGGAAAGGGACCTAATATGTGCCCCAGGTTGCCTACCCGGACCTCTCGTAAGGCGCAATGAAAGATGTAAACGCTTGTAAAACTTTTCCTTTTAGAAATTTGTGATGCTTGTTTGCATCAATCCCTTTATTTTGGTCATATTTTGCCGTGTGCAAAGTGGCATCACGCATGCACGATTCCTAATGACTGATTTTGAGGCGCAAACTAAAGAAGTTATTTGAGGAGGGTTC